ACAAGAACACATGATGCATTATATTGGGTGCTAGCTGGTCTCCGAAGATGGCTGTCATCAATCTTCCCCTCCCTGTGTGAGTCACTCTCTCAGGGGATGTGGAGTCCATTCCTTTATGGCATTGAATCTGGGCCAGGCCTGGGACTGCTTTGACCAATGGAATGTGGAGAGAGTTCCTTTCTCTCCTCACATTCTTGCTCTCTGAAGGGCCTTCATTTCTATTTTTTTCTTTCCTCCTGTCCCTACACAAGTATTCCCAAGTCAGAGCTATAGCTTAACCCTCATTTCCACCCAGGTCCCTCTGAGCCCAGGTGTCAAAAAGGCCTGGCAGCTGCTGCTTTTATGCTCTTGGAGCCCAAGCCACATGTAAAAAGTCCAGGGTCCCCTGCTGGGAAGAGAGGCCAACACAGAGAGGTCCTGGGAGATAAAAAAGTGCTTACAGAAAGAAGCCCCTTGGAGGATCACCGAGGCACCAGGATGTGAGGAATCAGCCATGCTGGATCATATGAGGCATCCCACCCAAAGCCCCAAACAATGTAGAGCAGGAACTAGTCATCCCTGCTGTGTCCTGTGCAGACTCCTGAGTCACAGAATCATGGGGAAAAACAAAACAGTTGCTTTAACCCACCAAGTTTTGAAGTTGTTTTGATGCATCAATAGATACTTTAAACATATTGTTAGGGTGAAGAAAACGGCATACAAATAGCCTAACACAGTGGTCGGCAAACTCATTTGTCAACAGAGTCAAATATCAACAGTACAACGACTGAAATTTCTTTTGAGAGCCAAATTTTTTAAACTTAAACTATATAGGTAGGTACATTGTTATTAACTTAATTAGGGTACTCCTAAGCTGGCCTTTGCTAAAAATGTCCTCAATCTGATTGAGGTACGTTCGCTGAGGTCGACCCCTTCCAACTCTCCCATCCACACTTGTCTTGTATACTTGTTTCACCTATCTCCTTTCATTTATCTTCTCTATATGTCCAAACCATCTCAACATACCTTTCTCAATCCTCAACACTACATCTTTCACTCCACAACATTCCCTAAAATTAACTTAATAAACTTTACTTAAAGTTTTAAGTCAACTTTGCACTGTACGTGTGCACCTGCACGTGGTATTTTGTGGAAGAGCCACACTCAAGGGGCCAAAGAACCGCATGTGGCTCGCGAGCCATGGTTTGACGACCACTGGCCTAACATATAGGATGCCCCCCAAAAATGTATATATCACACTTTGAATAATTATAAAGGCAGTGTTTATTAAAATACATTTCATTTTCAAAATTGAGCTATCAGCTGTTAAAGTGTGTATACATTTTTTGAGACACCCTGTATATACTTTTCAAAAATATATTTTTATTGATTTTAGAGAGGAAGGGAGAGGGAGAGAAAGAAACATCAATGATGAGAGAGTATCATTGAGCGGTTGCCTCCTGCAGGCCTATACACTGGGATGGAGCCTGCAGCCCAGACATGTGCCCTGATCAGGAATTGAACCGTGACCTCCTGGTCATAGGTTGACACTCAACCACTGAGCCATGCCAGCTGGGCATCTTTAATATAATATAATAACCACTGGGAGATGGGATTATGAGTACCTTTTAATTTCACCTTCTGGTTTTTCAAATTTTGCACTTGTTTTTATTTTGTAACAAAAAAATGTCTTAGTATCACATTATCTTTTTTGACAACTATTTTACACTACTGATTCACATTAAGCTTCCTGCCAACTATATGTATGGGTATACATATATATGTGTATACATATGTAATTAAACAGCCTATATAATAAAGAGGTAATATGCAAATTGACCATCACTCCAACACACAAGATGGCCACCCCCATGTGGTCAAAGATGGGAGGGCAGTTGTGGGCAATCAGGCCAGCAGGGGAGGGCAGTTGGGGACAACCAGCCCTGCAGGGGAGCAGTTAGGCATCGATCAGGCTGTCAGGGGAGTGGTTAGGGGGTGATCAGGCTGGCAGGCTGAAGCAGTTAGGGGCAATCAGGCAGGCAGACAGGCGAGCGGTTGGGAGCCAGCAGTCCTGGATTGTGAGAGGAATGTCCAATTGTCCGTTTAGGCCCGATCCCACTGGGCAGTTGAACATCCCTTGAGGGGTCCCAGATTGGAGAGGGTGCAGGCTGGGCTGAGGGACACACACACCCTGTGCACGAATTTTGTGCACCGGGCCTCTAGTATAAAATAAATACATATGTTTCCAAGGGCAGTTTTAACATGGCTTCTCCTGCGATAAAAGGCCACTAAAGAAGGTACAGGGTTTATGCTACATAAACAGAACACACCAAGGCATCTTGCCTTCAAATTCTTGGGCTCTCCCACCTGGAAACCCCGCTGGGAAAAGTTACCAATTCTCAGGCTGTCCACTTCAGTTACTCTGCTATTGTAAAGCTCCTGTGTAAGTGGTTATGGAAGAGCTGTTGCTATGGCAATGCAATCTGACTGAATACCAGAATGTGTCTAAAATTGGTACAAGTGCCTTTTTCAGGGATCCCTCTGAGGATTAATCATTTTCCAAGAACTAAATCTTTTTTCCCATCTCCTGTTAGAACAATGGTGCCAGAGCACCTCACCCAGTTCTAGGACAAAATAAGGAAGGGTCTGAGAAAGACAAAGCTTGATGGTTGAAAGACCAGAACCACAAAGGAGCCATTTCCTACCAGATACTCTGATCTCTTTGCACCCCCTGCCTCTTGGATGGCTTTGTCACCTTTGGACCCCCTTTGTCCCTTAGCTGCCTCAACCAGTACTGTTCGTTCACTAGTTTGTCTTGCTGGGTTTTCTCTGTGTGTCTCCTACGAACTCTTTTTCCTTTTTTGACCCCCAGTGGTAGGCATGCACTATGTCCCAATATCCATCCTCTCATTTCTCTCCTCACATTCTTACTCTCTGAAGGGCCTTCCCTCCTATTTTTTTCTTTCCTGCTGTCTCTACACAAGGATTCCCAAGTCAGAGCTATAGCCTAACCCTCATTTCCACCAAAGCCCACCACTGACCTTCCTGGGGCCCACAGGATGTCCCACTTAAAAAGCTGCAACCCCCAGGATGGGGTCCTATTTACTTTTCCACTTCTTGCCCAACTTCCCCCACACCACCCACCAACATGAACTCAAAGTTCCCAGCCTGGCAATTGCTTGCAGCTTTTTTTTTTTTTTTTTTTGCAGTTCGTGAAAGCTACCTTGATGATTGTCTTACTCCCTGTCTTGCCCAAGCCACGTCCTCTGCCTGGAATGTCCTCCCCATCCTCCCTCCTAGTAGTGTTTCTGGAGTCTGAAAGCCTCCCCCTCAGGCTCAACTAGGTCTCCTCCTTTGTGCTCCCCACTCACTGGTACCTGTCATACTGAACATCATTGTTTAAGTCCTGTCTGTCTTCTCCCACTGGGCTGGGAGCTCTTTACAGCAGGATTGTGTCTCATTCATTGCTGGCTCCCTGGAGCCTGGCACATACAAATGCAGAAGTAGACGTGTCATCGTCATCTTAAAATCAACATTCCCAAACCACCCCACCAGCCCTGCATCCTAATGTTGCCATTTCCCACAGATTCACAGGTATGTTTGCTGGCTTCCTTTAGTTTCATTCCTCAAGGACAAGCCTTCCCTTTGTGCTTCTTATTCATCCTGACAGGGCCTGGCACTTTGCTGCCTGGGCCTGGTTCAGGGCCTGGTACAGAGCCCGGTACAGAGCAGACTGAATTGAACGGAGTTTACCCTGGAGGGCAATGCCTTGCTCCTTGTCACTACATTACATAGTTTCTCTAAACCCATTGAGGTCAGACAAGAGGCCATGGGCTCCAGGGTACCGGGAGAGAGAACTTCTATTGACCTTGGGAGCATATGGGGTGTTAGGTATAGGTGGGGGAACCACAGGAAGACCATCTAGTCCAACCCTCTCATTTTGCACAACAGGATGCTGAGACAGCAAGAGCCAGCGCTGGCACTGAGCCTGACCTCCTGACTCCCAGACTAGTGCTGTGGACAGGGCTGTCTATCCTGGGGGAGAGGGGAAGGCTGACAAAGGGGCATTTGTAAGATGACCAGGGTAAGATCTGTAGGGCAGGTCAACATGCTACAGGCCTAGTGATTCACAAAAGCATCAGGATAAAGAACGTGAAGGAGAGGTGATTAGTACAAAGGGGTGGGGCCTGCAGTGCAGGTAAAAGCTCTGTAAGACTATGAGTGGAACATGGGTGCCACACGATATCAAGGGTGATAATCATAATGGTCACCACATGTGCAGAGTGCAATGGTCAGCTGGAGTTCTGCCACAGTCTGGGGAGATTCCTGTCACTAGTCAGGATTGGCAGAGGCCTGGGGGGTGTGGGGCACAGCTGTGTGCTGAGTGTGAATGTGGGTGTAGCCACCACTGTGTTTTGCTGCACAGGAATTGTTCCTGGGTGCAACTACTGCAACCAAGAGCCCCACTGGAAAGTCCAGGCTTTTCCAGAACAAAGTCAAGAAAAGGACATGCATCAGAATCCTGTATCTTATTGGGGGAAAAAAATTGAGTCCAAACACAAGTATATTAGAGCACATGATTAACATTGTAACCATACAGCCTACAGCCCTTCAAAATTATGTTATGAAGAGGTTTCAATGATCTGAGGAAATACTTAACTGTATTATTTTAGGTGGAAAATGCAGGCTGAAATAAAGATATATTCAGGAACTCACCATGTAGAGCAATGAACACAGAAGGAGTATGTCCAAAATGGTCATCGATTTTAGCTGTGATTTTTTTAAACCTAGTCTTTTTTTTTTCTCCTGCATATTCTAAATTTCTATGCTGAGCACATATCATTTACAGAGTGTAAAGATAATTGTTTTATTTATTTTTAAGACACTAATTGTATGCTTATAAGAAAATATAAGCTGTCAGGTTTGACTTCATTCTCTGTGGCTTTCTGCTCTGCTCTCCAGAAATGTTCTCCCCAATCCAGAGGAAGTCCCACCCCAGATGGCTCAATCCATTTACTCACATTCTGAATATTTCTGGAGTTGGTCAAATTCTTCTGAAGTGAGGGAGACCCAGCGTTCTTCACTCATCTTTAAGCTGGGTATGAGCGCTTGAGGCTGGGGATGGAGTTTTGTTCACCAGGGTGAAGCCGAGGCCCAGCCCAAGGCCTGGCTCATTGCAGGTATGCGATGGACAAGCCCTCTGGGAGATTTCTCAAGGACCACAGTGTCTATGGCAGCAGCGGGTACCTTCCAGCAGATGAGCGAAGACCTCTGCTATTCCTCAGGGAACATCCTTCTATCTGCAGTCAAGGTAAATCCAGAAACCCTTGCTCTCCCTGGGCAGAAGTAGAAAAGGCATTATGAATGAGAGCGCTGGAACACATAAGGCATCTTTTCTTATTTAAAAATCCCCAAATTTCCCTTGCTGGAAGACTTTAGGATGGGATGGTTCTCAGGGGAAGGATGTTTCCTCAGGGAAGCCTGAGGAGGTCATGGAGACAAGACCAGCACAACCCCAGACAGGTGTCTGACAGGTGGGGATAGGTGGCCTGTAGGAATAGGTAGCCATACTTTTAAACTTGGAGAAATTTTAAATGTCTCCTATGAAAGGAGGTTGTAAATGCCTCAGGCTGCTGGATGCCTCATGTAAGTACAAGGACAGTAGCCTCTGTGGGGTGATTTGAAAGGTGAGCCATTCTCTCCTCCACTGACTCTAAATCCCACCTTAGAGCTGCCCACCTTCCTCTGATGAGTCACTCTGGTTATGCAAATACCCCCCAAGCCTGGCTTACATCCTAGTGACTGAAGCAGCTCTCTTTCCTCTCAGAACCATAAAAGAAGTGATTAGAGGGCAGGCCTGTGGGCCCAGTGCAGGAGATCCTGAAGGAGGAGAGGGAGATGGAGTCTGACAAACACTTTAACATCTTATTCTCTGAGCCTCTCCTAGCACCCTGGATCCCACCGTCAGTCATTAAATCAGTGTAGTGGGTTGTGAAATGAATGTGGTGGGCCAAGACTAGCACTTAGTAACATAGAATAGCAGAGAATGGAATGGAATGAAATGAAATGGAATTGAAAATAAGACTACATCTCCTGCCCTGGCTGGTTCGATTCTTGGTCAAGGACATGGACCTGGGTTGCAGGTTTGATCCCCAGCCCTGAGTCAGGGTGCATGTGCGGGAGATAACCAATTAATGTTTCTCTCTCTCTCCTTCTCCTTCTCTCTTTCACTCTGTCAACAGGGGAAAATATCAACAGGGGAAAATATCCTCAGGTGAGGATTAACAAAAAACAAACAAAAAGAGTACATCTCCTTTCAGTTATATATACATGTGTATAATGATCATAATGTAAAATATACTTCTTATTCTCAGTTGAGTTTTAAAAAATGTTGGAAAGCCACCAACCAACCTAATAGGAGGAGAAATAAAGACCAGTGTTACCAAAGAATGAGCCCAGTTTCAACAAAACAGGATCCATCGTGGAGAATCGGACTTCAAGGCAGATCTGGGGAGCCTGAGGCACATGAGAAATGGCAGAGGAGCTGGAGGAAGCCACCCAATGAGGAGACAGATTTGTACAGTTCTCTGGGTGGACCTGGAAGGCTAAACTAGAGCTGGAGGGAGATTTGGGCTCTGTAAAGACCTTCTATCAATCAGAGCTCTCCAACAGTAGGTGGGAATGCATGACCAGGGAGTGAGAAGCCTGCATCCAAGTTCTAGTTTCTCTCATTACAAAGTCCAATTCTCTCCTGAATCTACCAGCCAACTGGATTCCTCCTTGGCACCTGCTCTTGCCAAGGTCCCCAGTGACCTCATTGCCAAATCCAACAGGCACGTTGCAGGCCTTCCTTACTTCATTTGCTCTCTCTGCAGACCTTGCCATGGCACAAAACAACCACCTTGAGCTTCTTTTATCTTTATGAGTGTTCCTCCTCAGTCTCCTCTGCCTCTCCTTTTGCCATCATTATATATCGGAGTTTCCAGAATCCCGTCCTGAGCCCTCTCCTCATTCTACATCCCTCCCCTTAGGGCTCTCATCCTCCTCCACAGATTCAGTGACTCTCGGGCATGCTGCTCTGACCTGCACTCTCTCCTCACTCTGATCTGAATATCCAGCTGTCACTGGGACTCCCCTGTATATCCCAAGCCATTCCAAATTGGCCCTTTCCCATGCCCCCCACCTGCCTCTCCCCTGCATTCTGGTTGTGCCCTGAGAGGAACCAATACTCAGCCTGAGCACCTCCCCCTTCCTTTCCTGCCAACTCTGGGCACCAGTCCCAGAGAGTGACTGTCCACTGTGTGTTCCCTCCTCTACATCACACCAGCTGGTCCATTGACTCAGACCCTCGTCTTCTCTCGCCTGGTTTCTGACAACAGCATCCTGCTGCTCTCCCTGCCTTGGGTTTTGCTCTCCTCCCCTTGGTTGGCTCTAAATTGCCAACCAGATCATATCTCTCTCAGTAATAAAATTCTTCAGTGGTTTCTATTGCCTATAGAATTGGATGTAATCTCCTTTACATGATACACAAAGCTCTTTATGATCTGACCTCTGATTTTCATTTCAGTCCAAAATTGAGGGGTAACCTTTAAAAACATTTTCCATCATACCAGGGAATTTAACATTACAACTGGTATTACCACTGCTGCTGAACACTTATTTCTCACTGTGCTCTATGCTTTACATCTATTATCTAATGTAGTCCTCACGACAACCATGTAAAAGAAGCTATGCCTCCTCCCTTTTAGATGAGGGAAATGAGGCAAGGCGTTTAGTGGATATGGTGAGGAGAAAGTAGGAAGCCCAATGCTTTTGTGTAAGAATGCTTCTCTGATATGTATTCTGCATACTTTCAGAAGCATAGCGCTCTAAGAGGGCCCAGAGACACACTGCATGAGAGAACTACATGAAACTCAAAATCAGAAGGCAGGAGATCTGAATCCTGGCCATGACTCTTATAACTATTTAACATTAGACAAATTTTTTGTTTCTTGACCCTTGGTCTCTTTATCTTAAAAATGGGAATGCTAATTAAAAACTTCACTGAGTTAGTGTTATGGTTAACTCGGGTAATATATGCAAAAAATCTACCCCCCAAACCCTACCTAGCACAATGCCTATCATACCATGGGCACTCAATAAATAATCATTGCCATCATCCTATTGCAAATACAACACAGCAATATGACTTAAACAACCAGGTGAGTGCAATTGGGTACAAAGTCTTTATGTACTTGATTTTATCCTGCTCCAGGTTGTTGTAATTTTGTAATTACTCATCAAACTTGTATCCACTAGTTTAGCATTCACTGATGATTTTTGACAGGATTAATTATTACTATGATAGTGAATTTCTAATCCCATTGTTCCTTTTTTATTTATTAGTTGGGATTCTACTGAGGAAGAGTTTTCTCCATTACTTCTTTATATCAGTTTATTTATACATTTTAATTTATACTACAAATATTACATATTGTATAAAGAAATATTAAATACTAAAGGCCCAGTGCACTAAATTCATGCACTCAGGGAGGTTGCTTAGCCCGGTCTGCGCCCTCTTGCAGTCCGGGAGCCCTCAGGGGATGTCCGACTGATGGCTTAGGCCCACTCCCTGCGGGGCGCACAGTCGGACATCCTTAGCGCTGCCACAGAGGTGGGAGAGGCTCCTGCCACCACCGCTGCGCTCGCCAGCCATGAGCCTGGCTTCTGGCTGAGCGGCGCTTCCCCTGTGGGAGCACACTGACCACCAGGGGGCAGCTCCTGCATTAAGCTTCTGCCCCTCTGGTGGTCAGTGTGCATCATATCGACTGGTCGTTCTGCCATTCAGTTGATTTGCACATTAGCCTTTTATTATATAGGATAAACATAATATATAAGAATATAAATAATATATAAATATGTATAAATGTATATTGTATTTAGATTTTATATATTACTTATATTAATGGATTCTTATTTTATTCAATGGGTTATAATTCATTGCTATCATTATTTGTTTTGATTCTTGAATTGCCCCAGATTTGGTCAGTGAAAGCTCATTTGACATGGTTCTTTGTTCTTTAGACATAGACCTATCATTCTGTGAGCACATCTTTATTTTCTGGGACTACAAAATGTGTCAGGCTTATCTTGTCCTTCCTCAGTCCTAGTCCTGAAATCAGCCATTTCTCCAAAGCCCTGATTTCTTTTAGTGGAGAATCATATTTGAAACCAAGGTGTGAGCACTAGTTGTGCTCATTGCTACTGGGGTGGCATTGGTTTTAGGCCATGAAAGGGACAGAGTTAGGAAATACATGCATGTATACACACACATCTCACCTCTGGGTATCTATCACCTATCTATCTATCTATCTATCTATCATCTATCTATCTACCTATCCATCTGTGGATTGTCTTTCACACATTGTTTTGTTTTGTTTTCCACTTAACCATGTATCCTATGAATCACTCCATATCTGTTCAAGAGATCCTCCTCATTTAGAACCAAGTTTGACTCCACACCTACCTGCTTACATCCTCCAGAGGCCTCTCTTAGCCTCCAGGATAAAGAGCAAGCTCTTTAGCCAGTTCCAGAAGATTCTTTATCCATGGTACAGCTCACATCCCCAACCTCACCCCAATTACCTCCTGCTCCACATTCCAGCCAAATCAACCTATTCCCTACTCTTAGCATGTGGTGTCGTGTGATAGGACCTCCCAAACAGTAGTTAATGGACTGACAAACACACCGTGCCTTTAATCTACCTGGAATGCCCTTTACTCCTGCCTTCCCATAGCGAACCACTACTCATATGTCTGGTTCTGCTTCTTTCCTATAGGTATTTGAACTCTTTGAGCAAACTAAGCTCTTCTCCCAGCTGTGTTCCCATAGATCCTCTTTATTTCTCTATCGTGGTAGCTGACAGTCTTGTGTTAGAGACAGATACCCCAAAAAATAATTAACATGTGACTTGGTGAGAGTAGTGGTACAGATATGTACAGGGAAGCATGGGGCCATCTAATGCATCTGGAGCAGACACAGGGGAGTAGAATAAGAGCCCTGAAGGAGCTGAGAAGGGGTAACAAGATAAAGAGATATATGTTGCAAT